TGTGTGTGTGTGTGTGTGTGTGTGTGGACGCAGGTGAGAAATTGCCTTCATCAGCCTCCATTCTTGAGGCTCCTCCCACTAAGGAGCCCGACCGCAGCCAGGTGAGTTAAAGACTTCAGTTAAACAACTGGGAGTTAACTGGGATGCTTTTATTGTGAAGGAAGAGTCTTGCTTTGTCTCCCTGCAGGTGAGGATGGTCAAAGATGGGGAGGGGTTAACCTGTCAGCCAATCACTGAGGGGGAGGAGCAAGGCCTGAGTGACCTCGTTAACAACAACAGAGAAGGTGAGCTGATCAGCTGATCGATCTCAGTGATGTCACTGCAGCTGTTTCTTCATCTTCTCTTTGTCTCCAGATGTTAAAGATGAGTCCCAGCAGCCTTCGCCCCGCCTGATCACCTCCACCCCCACTCAGGCTTCAGGGATCCCCCTGCCTCCCTGCTTCACCACTCCTCACCCCAGATTTGAAGAGCCAGGCTCCGCCCTCTCGGACTACAGCCCCAGCTCTCCATATGACCCGCTGTTTGAGCTCGCTCTGCCGCGGGCGGCCATGCTGTTCGTTGGGAAGAAGACCCAGGTAAGGTCAGGTGGACCGAGCCACAGGTGGTTTTTGTGAGCGTGCTCGGTAACGTGCTGTGTCCTGCAGGAGGTGCTGGAGAAGAAGGGGGGAGGACCACAGAGGGAGAACAGAGAGGAGGAGGTGACCTCTGTCTCCCCTCTGAAGGTTCTGGACCAGCTGATCGCCCGTGGAAACAACGCCCACGATTGCCTCAGCAGGAGGTGAGCCGCAGGAAGTTATCAGAGGGCATTATCAGGCAGAACGCCGCCTCACGCCCAAAACACACCGATCAGTATCACATCAAAGGTGTGAGTCGCCTAGCTTCATATTGTGACGCATAAACGCCCCCTGAGCGAGCGCTTTGGAGATAGTGGGAAGACAGAAGTCCTTCTAACAGGAAGAAAGCTGCAGCACAGCCAGGCTGAGGGAGGAGAGGCCGGTCGGGGTGAGGTGACAAAACGAGACATTAAACACGAAGCGAGATTCCCGCTGCTCGCCGATCGATGGAGCGAGGTGCAGCCATCGTCTAGTCTGTCGATGAAACCGTGTCCTTAGATTTGAAACATCTGCACGCGTGTCATCAGAGACCCGTCTCATGTTGTGTAAAACGTGCTAACCTGCGTCACCTCTTTCTTCTTCTGTGGTGTTCACAGGTTATCAGCTGGGAGTAAGTCGGTGGATCGGAGTCACTCTGGAGGTAAACAGCAGAGCATGAAAAGCAAAGGTACCTGAACTCTCGCCTCATCACGCTCATTAACCTCACATGCACATGAAGCTGTAAGCTCACTGTGTGGAGCTGACAAGCTCCTGAACCCGCGCCGCTGTTTCAGCTCGTCGTCACATTCGCTGCTGTTTGCGGGCGCCGTCCTGAATCTGCGTTCAGGTTTGATCTAGCCGGCTGGTGTTCTCGGGTTCAGTTTTCACGTCTTGAGGCTGATGAGGAAGCGGTTCGCGGCAGGATCCACGCTGGTTCTTGGCAGCTGTGGGACACCGTGCTCCGGTTCTCTCGTATTCGCCGTACTGACCACGCCCGGCTCGTTTAATGACCCTCAGACGAGCTGCGGCGTCAAGCTGCCAGGTTTGCATCAGCACAGAGGATTTCATTAGAACTGTGTGTGTGTGTCAGGCTCCACCCAGGAGGAGGAGCTTCAGTCTCTGACCAATCAGCTGCTGCTCGTCCATGCTCAGCTCCAGTACGAGCGCTTCAAGCGGCAACAGCACGCCATCCGAAACCGCCGGCTGCTGCGGAGGGTCATCAACGCGACAACGCTGGAGGAGCAGAGCGCTGCCATGGTAACACACACGTCAACCTCATCATGATGCTGAACACCACCCACGTAGCCCCTCCTCTCATGTTTTCTCTCCTCCGTCACGCTGCTGGTTGCAGAAGTCTCAGCTCGGCGTTCAAGACGAGGAGATCCGGAGTCTGAGGGCGAGTCTGGACGAGGAGCAGCGCCGATATTCGGCGCTGCAGCGCGACACACGCACACGCAGCGGGCAGCTGCACACACACATTGCACATCTGCTGCAGCTGCAACGAGACGAGCAGAGAGAGAGCCAGAGACTGCAGGTCACACACACACACACACACACACACACACACACACACACACACACCATCAGCAAAGAGCTTCACATCCTGTGCTCTGATTGGCTGTTGCAGGGTGAGCTGCAGGAGTGCCAGAGCAGACTGCAGGATCTGGAGGCGGAGCTTCAGAAAGCCAATTACAGGGCGTATAATGCTGAGCACCAGCTGACCCAGCTGTCAGTGAAGGTGAGTCCCGATTAGTCGATGGCATCGTTGAAGGGGCACGGCGCCCAACTGCTTCTCTCTGTGTGTGGCCTCGCAGCATCACAGTGTGTCCATGACGACTAAATACACACCGAGAGGAGGCAGATATGTGGGTCAGAGGGGTTTCACTTCCTGTCAGACACCGATAGATCTGTCGAGTCTGTAACGAGTCCGTGTGTGCTCAGGCTGTTTCAGTTTAAACCAGCAGCAGAGAAACTGAAGACAAAGCCAGTTTTTCTGTTTCTAAATAATGAAGGAGGACGAGCCCACAGTGGCTCAAAAACAGCAACCACAGCTGAAGTCCTGAGGCAGCTGCTCCCACTCAGTCCTGTTCTACAGATGTTTGTGTGTCTGTGTGTCTACAGCTGTGCAGCAGTGAGCAGCTGCATCAACAGATGTTCCTGCTGAACCAGCAGCTGGTCCTGCTCGGAGAGACCAACAAAGCTCTGCAGCAACAGCTGGAGGGCGGAGAGACACAGCGCTGCACCGTAAGACCCACACACACATACACACACCAGCTTCAGTCAGCTTCAGTCAGTTTCAGCCAGCTTCAGTCAGTTTCAGCCAGCTTCAGCCAGTTTCAGTCAGTTTCAGCCAGCTTCAGCCAGTTTCAGTCAGTTTCAGCCTTTATCACGAACGAGTGGGTGATAAAGCGCAGACACGCACCTGCATGCAGAGCTTCAGGATCTGATTAGCAGAATCACATCTACGACTGTGTTTCTCATCGTTTCAGTGAGACACTTTTTCTCTTTCACGCTAACCTGCCGAGGTCAGCACATCACAATCGTTACTCAGACTCCGGCCCTTTCTCAATTCTAAGTATGCAAGTCCGTGCTCGCGTTCTCGGCGAGACCGGACTCGCCGAGAACGCGAGCACGGACTCGCGATTTGTACAACTGGAACACCAGCGTACTTGATGATGTCACAGGTCCAGAGTTTTTACTGCCGTCCTTAATTTAACTGTGAGTAATATGTGATGAAGCTTTAATCACAGCCGAACCGGTTTACTCAGGAACAAATTAAACACTGAAACAAACCAAACATTAACATTTAGAAGTGATCTAAGTGACTTATATATCATGTTTAACCTCAGTAGTGAAATCTCCATTAATAAAAATAGTGTACATGTACATACGTGTACATACCTTAATAAAAACAAGCAGGTGAGATGTTAGAACGCTTTTGTTTTTATTGTAGTGGACACTCAATACAATAGACAGCTGCTGGGGTTTGTTTAACCTGAGTAGCAAAAAGACCGCGGGGGGTTGAAAACGATGTGCCGGGAGTCCGCTGTTCTCGCCGGCTCTAATAATCCTCAACCTCGCTGTCTGCTGTGGAGCTGGCGGGTCACAGACGTCTCCGAAAACGTCGGAGCGCGTTTGGAAATACATGACATCTTGATAAATCGAGCAGATGTTTGAAGTTCACACAGCTACATTCTCGCTTGAAAATAACTTAAAAGTTTATTTTGTGACCCAGAAAGAGTAATATGTAAAAGTTTTTAGCCCCGATCGTCCGCCATTGCCGCGTTTGAGTTTTGGACGAAATGCATTCTGGGATATTTAGCTGTACCAACTACACACAAGTCACCACCGATGCATGCTCGATAAAACGGGTGGAGCGAGAACACATCCGGGACTTTTTCGCGTTCTCTTGATGCGTACTTTGAACTGGAACAGTACTTGGTCTCCGACTGATGACGTATCACGAGTACACGAGAACGCAAGTACGCATATTGAGAAAGGCCCTCCGTTTCTCCTTCAACGTATGTTTTGATTTAGATTTTTGTTTCTTATTAAAGACAGTTCACTAAAAGCACGTACAGAGTTATCAAATTACTTTTATTGTCACATCACATGTGCAGGTACACTGGTACAGCACATGTGAGTGAAATTCTTGTGTGCGAGCTTCACAAGCAACAGAGTTGTGCAAAATACAA